CACGCCCCCCCCCCCTCCTTGAAAGCTGCCAAGGTTGAGAAATGCTGCTTTATACCAACATTAACATTAGATAGAGTCAATTCTTTTCCAACTAACATTTTTTAACGCCTCGTAGTCGGAAAAGGTGCTCCCAGAATCCTGATTTTTTTGCTATCATAGACTAACCCAGCTCTCATCCTCCTAAATTCACATGAATTTCCAAACCTTATCCAAGATTTAGGACCCTTCTGCAACTCGACGTTGCCATCTGTTGAGCAATGCTGGAGATCCGATTCTCAAACCAGGAGGAATTTGGCGCTATCAAGATCCCATCCAGGATATTGTGGATCATCGCTATCCTGTCGCCTAAAAATCTTCCTTGGGTATTAACACAAGTCCGAGGCCCGCAGAGAACACCTTGCTTAAATTGATAAGGCAGGTCAGAACCAATCCTGCTGCCAGATGCAAATTGAAAAAAAAAGATTGATTGATTGATTGATTTTATTTAATGCTTCAAATTTAGTCACTGCCCATCTCATTCAGATCCCGTTTCTTTGATCGTTGTCTGAAAGAGAAGAGGGCCACCAGCATTTTTAGAGCATATTTCCTCTATGAGGCTGTTTTTGGGGGCTTAAGTGTCCCTGACATGGAAGATGTGCCCAGAGATAGTAGGAGCTGAACTGATCCTCTGAAGGTCCACGCAGGATGATCCTGAACTGAAAAACAGGAGGACTTCTATCCATATTCCATCAGTGGTGTTTGTAGAACACACCTAGATTCTCTATGGCAAGGTTTCTCAACCTCAGGCACTTTTAAGATGTCTGGACTTCAACTCCCAGAATTCCCCAGCCAGCATGCTGGGGAATTCTGGGAGTTCCGCAGCCAGCATGCTGGGAAATTCTGAGAGCTGCAGTCCACACGTCTTAAAGTTGCCAAGGTTGAGAAACACTGCTCTAAGTCTAGAATTCCATAGGTAATAGAGGTGAAAGGATGCTGGGTGGGGAATTCTGGGAGTTGAAATCCACACATCTTAAAGTTCCTGTGGTTGAGAAACACTGGCCTATTGAATTAACCCATGGGTGTGTGTGCGTCTTGCACAATACTATATCAAGACAATCCAGTGTCGGGGCAAGACCCCTTGGACTCCTTTAATCTTTTATTTTTAATCATTTTCTGCCCCTCTTTCAGGCAACCGAGCTGGTCAAATCAAGCACCTATTTTTAATTACCCACAAGGCTCCTGACGCTCTCAGAGGCATTGTGGGTAATCGAACTGACGGCTGCATCCAGTTTGCTTGCCCCCTCCCGGCAGGGCTTGGAGCACTGCAGGTTTGTCGAGTCTGTTGGAAAGGTGGTTTAGCTAGACTTGGGTCGGAT